GAGCATGCCGAGTTTAATGGAGAGCCACTTTAAAGTGCCCCACCACTTCTGGAGCTTCGCCGGGGTGACCTCCAGCGTGACCGCCTGGTTCATGAGGTGCCGGACGTCACCGGCCGTCCAGGGGAGGTTCTGGAAGCCGATCTTGCGCATGCCCTCATAGGCCAAGCAATGTGCTCGGATGGTCCGGAACCGGGCATCTCCAAATAGGTGGCCGAACTCCTCCAGCTCCCTGGCCCCCATCACCTGGTGCATGTAGGGGATCTGGTGGCGGAAAGGAATGAAGTAGCCCAGGAGGCGTTCCAGCCACCTGGCCCTCAAGTGCTGTTCCAACGCTCGTTGGGATGTCGGCAATTGGGTTTTGATCTTCCCTGGTTTCCAATGCCGCCACTTGTTGGCCACTGCCAGGACATCCGGGGCCTCAATCGATCCGGAGAGGATCCACTCCTCGCGGTCCCGGATGGCCTGCTCCATTTCCAGTGGAGAATAGGTGTGCGATTGTCTGGCGCCTGCCGCACGAAACAGAAGTTGTTGCAGGGTCTTAGTAGCGAGCTCCAAATCCGCCTCCTCCAGCGGTTGTGGTTGGGAGCCGAGTATCCTTGCGAGGATCAAGTTGTAGGTGTCCGAGGCCACCAGGACATGGTTGCCGTCAGGTGCCAGCCCCACGATTCGTGTCCACGGTCGCGGGTCAAAGACCACCGCATCCGGGTTGGCAACCTGGTCCTTTTTGACCCATTCCAGGCAGCACGCCACGAGGATTTCCCCGTCCGACTGCACTGGTGCAAATCCAAGGTCATGCAAAATCAACTGGAACGCGGTTGGTACCCCAAGGAAGGTCGTTCCAAACGGGGAAGGGAGGCGGGGCCTCCACATCATCGTGATCCACTCGAGCCAGGAGCCTAATTCCTAGGCGCAAACCCCAACCAAACAACAGGGGAGCCCCCAAAACCCCGGAAAGCCCATCCCGAAACGGGGGAAAAGGGGGGGGGGGGACCCAGGGAGCCGCCCCGGAAAGGGAAGAACCAAACAAGGGAGGGGAGCCAAGGCGCACCCCGGACCAGCCCAAGCGCGCCAATTTTTCTCGCCTGGTACAGGTCTAGGCCTGTGCTGTGCCCAGGGGGGGATATCAGCGCCCTCGGCAGCTGTCCCCCCCGGGGTGCGCTGCGAATCCGTTCCGGATGGCCGCAGTGCTGTATGATCATACGGCCCCCTTTGCAATGTCGTCAATGCGCTTGAGCGCCGCCGCCTCCGGATTCCGGAGAATCAGCTCCCAGATGGCGTTTGAAACATGGCCGGTCTGGGTGATGTGGCTGAACCTAAACCGGGGGACTTTCTGGTCCGGAGACATCCCGCAGCGGGGCAGGCGGTAGAACTCCAACCGCTCCTTGACCCAGCGGTTGTACAGGCCATCCGGCGGCTCGTCCAGCACCAGCTGAAGGATGGCCTTGCCGGCCCGGATCTGGAGGAGGCGGGTGCCCCCTCCCCCGGCGCGCCAGTACCCCTTGCAGTACTTGCACATGTAGCCCCCCCGGGTCTCCCCTTTTGTCTTCGGGATGAGTTCCCACGGGGTGACGGAGCTCAGGACCAGGCCACACTCCATGTGCGCCCAGAAGACATGCTTCGTCTCCGCCGGATAGTTCTTCTTCCGGTAGTCCTTGCCCACCACGCCGTGGACGTTGTCCGATGTGATGGGGGGGTAAACGATCCCCTCATCGCCCTCTCCTCCCCTGGGGCGGATGTCAGGGCCATCGGCACCTGTCCGGCACCCAGGGGCGGAGGGGTCAAGGCCCATCAGCTTGATCATGTCGTTGGTGTAGCCGAGCTTGCGGTAGATGGAGGGGGCTACTGAGTCGGGGACTGCGCCGACCCACCACTGCTTCGTGTTGCAGCGCCAATTGACCTTCACCTCCGCCAGGGCCCCCGGGCCTCCAATGCGGTCCATGAGGGCCTTGTACACCTCTGGGAACTGCTGGAGACTCTCCACCGGGACAGATATGCGCTCATCACATACCGCCCGGAGGATCATCTGTTCCTTGGAGTCCGCCACGTCCTGGACCGGGAGCTGCATCACCTCCGCCGGGGTGTCCGTGAGGAAGGCCCGGGCCGCGAGGACCTTGCCCATGGCCCGGTAGACCAGCCGCCACTCCGGTCCTGTCTGCGGAAACGGAAGGCCCTCCTCCTTCAGGAAGCACCGCGCGTCTTCCTTCAGGGTCTCCCAGCCCTCCAGGCGGATCTGATTCTGGGCCTTGTTCTTCGGGCCCCGCTGCCTAGGGCCCTGTAGCAGTGGCAGGGACTCCCAGACCCCAGAGCTGGCGCAGGGTGAAGCTGTGACCAAACATCCCCAGTAAGCCTGGAAGTGTCCAGGACGAGATCTGGCGCGCCCAGTGGAAGTCCTCATCCGGATCGTGGGGGGCCGCCCAGAAGATGGAACGCAGGTCCTCGGGGTGGGGTCGGTCCCCCGCCTTAGCCTGCTGGTTCAACTCATCAACGGAGTACCTGGCCCATGGGAGTCCACCCACCTGGTGGTTCCTGGGATGCGTACCCCTCTCCAGCGCCTCCGGATTCACCTTGGTGAGGTTGTTGGCCCAGTCCGGGACGTGTACGGGGCCCGGTCGTCGGACCCAGCGGCCCGCAAAGATACGGACCTCTCCGACCCGTTTGCTCATCATCCAGCGCAGGACCGCGAGCTGCACCTCCGGGTCCTGGGTATCCAGGCCCCCTGGGGTGGCAGACGGCTTGTCAGGGCCCTCGGCACCTGAGCTCGTCGCGCCAGAGCCCGAGGCTGGGGGGATGGTGGGCTGCCTGTCAGGGCCCTCGGCACCTGGGCGCGCCGCACCAGAGCCTTTGGAATGGGGATCCCCGCCAGATCCGGCAGATCTGCCAGGAGGGCCGCCGGAAAGGGGTTCCTACCCAGCGAGATGACCGCCTTGGCTTCGAGGTAAGAGTCCGTGAGGGACGTGAGGTCGTCCATGCTGAAATCCCTCCATGCCGTGGTCGGCTCAAAGACCCCCGTCTCAATGGCAACTCGGACCTCGTTAGGCCACGCACTGAATGGAGGCTTGATGGGCTCGAGCATTCTGGTCTCGTGGGCGCCCTTCGCTTGTCTGGCCTGGTGCTTTGCCTTCGCCTCCTCCGCAGTGGTCTGGGCCTGGAGGAGCTCCGGTGTGGGCCTCCCCCAGTCCGCGCCCAGCTTATCCAGCAGTTTTTCGCGGAAAAGGTCCAAGTCCAAATTCTTGAGGAGTAGGCCCCCATCGCCTCCTCCATCAATGGCCCCTCCTTGAAGCTCGTGGAGGACCGCCGCGGATCGCTCCACCGCTGCCACCTGGTCTGCCTTCTTGGCCTCCTCCTGGGCAATGGTGGTGGCGTTGAGCCGGGTCTGGATTTTGAAAGCCTTCACCGCCGACGGGTGGAAGGCCCTGCATTCCTGGCCCTCTTCCTTGTCGCCCGGCAATGGAGGCCTCTCCCCCATTGGGGCCGTCAGGAAATCCTCGTCCAGCTCCATGGGGCAGTTCCTGATCACCGCCCGGACCGAGGAGGGGACAAAGTCCGAGAAGCTGGCCTGGTCCGGGTTCTCGCATGCCATCGGGTCGGTGGCCAGCTCGCTGACATCCACCGAGGCGCTGAGCTTGAGGTCGCGGGCCCGGTCCGTATGGGCCATCGGCACCTGCGGACCGGGCCGCCGTCCAGACCGCATTGCCCTGGTCATCCACCGTCAACTGCCAGTGCGTGCCCGCCATCTCCAGGGTGGCCGAGTTGGTCGCCATGTCAATGGGCTCCGTCTTCTTGCCGCACCCCATACACTTCCTGGCGCCCTTCTTCACCCAGGGCATGGTGCAGCAGGGGCAGATCCAGGATGTGGGCTCCTTACCCAGGGGGCGGTTCTCCAGGCCCCCATACCCCAGGCCAGCGCGCTTGCCGACCTGCTGTCCCGGGGTGCTGAGCCGGGCCTCATGCTCATACTTCATCTTGGCGATGTAGAACGCCTCCACCACACGCTCCAGGCCCCCCTGCTTGAGTTGGGGGCCCTCAAAGCCTCTCAGGAGCCGCTGGACGTCCTTGGCCTGCAGTCGGCGGAGCCTAGTGGCCGTGGTCGCATCAAAACACGGGAAGTCGCCCGCCATCTGGTCCTCGCTGAATTGGTAAAGGCCCTCAGAGACTTTGAGGGCCTTGGTGAAGACGCTTCCCCCCGGCGGGGGGGCTGCGGGGTCCTCATCCTCCTCCGAGGACGCCTGCTCCCTGACCTTCGCCATCAGATCACGGCGTCTCTGCCACTTGGTGTCGGACATCGGGAGCTCCTCCTCGTCTTCCGCCAGGAGTTCCTCCATGGGAACATCCTTCTCCGGCGGGTTTAGGAGCTCCAGGAACGCCCCTGGGGGGCGTGTCAGGGCCTTCGGCACCTGCGCCACCCCAGGGGCTGAGTCTGCCATCAGCTCGTCCTCTGCCTTGCGCTTGGCTGGGATGAGTGGGGCCTGCTCCAGCTCATCGGCGCTGGAGAAGAACCGCTCGTCAGGTGCCTGAGGGACCTCAGCAGCCAAGACGGTCCATCCTTCTTCCTCCTTCTTCACGAGGCTTGCCAGGTACGCCATGGAGGCCTTTGCCTTCGCCTTGGCCTCTGCAACCGCGGCACCAGCGTAGGCGGGGGCGTACATGGCTTTGATAGGAGGGGAAAGAAAGATTTCAGATTACAAGACAGAAGGTCAGAGTCCACTTGAGCCAAAATGGTGGCCCAAGTGGACACTTATGAAGAGTCAAGACAAGCGACCACCTGCGGTTAACGCTTTAGCCCAAACCGCCCAAAGAGAAAATATGGGTCTGTCTTTTGTGAGAAAAGAGCTCGCGCAAATATTTGGCCATGGGTCAAAAGCCCGTACCCCCAGTGAACATCCCAATCCCCACTAAAATAGGTTCTAAAATGGGTGGTGAATTCACCTACCCAAAATGGTACCATTGGCTTTGACCCACAGCCATTTGGGGGGCTCAGCCTTTTGGTTTGCCCGAGGGGCCGCAGCATCCGGCAGCCGGAAGAGGCACACACCTCGATTTTGAAAAAATGGAAAACTAGGTCCTCCAAATTTTACAAGTTAAAATAAGATACCCCCTTTTTTCGTAGTCTATTTTACCCCAAAAAAAGTAAAAGGGCACTACTAAAAGACCTAGAATTGCTTGGTTGCTGTTGACCCCCTTTGCAAACACTTCTTGGGGGTTTAGTGGAAAGCCCCCTTGATTTCAAAGTCCAAAGATCCAACCCACTAGCAGTCAAGATTGGTGGTTTGGAGATGTGAACGGGCCCAATAGCTTTTGTAGAGGGTAGATGGGAAACCCCTCCCATTGACCACCAAACCACCGGGCTCCATTGAAGGGAAGCTGAATAATTGGGTGTTCGATTCGCCAAGTTTCTCCCCGCTGCCTTACGGGGACGCGGGAGACCCGGTCTCATGGAGCAAAAACATAATTTGACCACAAAAAGGTAAAAGTCCTAAGGTCAGGTCAAAGACCAGCCGAGTTATCTAGAATTCCAAATAGAAAATGGCTCATACATAGAGATCTCCAAGTACCGGCCACCCCCCTCCCCGATCCAAGTTTCTAGGTTGGCAGGTTCAGTGGGCGTGTAATGAAAGTGAAAGTGGTTAACCACTTGCTGACTTGGCTGAACATCCAAGTAGAAATTGACAGGATGTTCTGCAGCCCGCCTTTGCTCCATAGAAACTCGCAGGATACTTGGATGTTCAACCACTTGTAACCATCGTTCCAACCTGCATAGAAAGTTGGTTGAACCTCCAAGTATTCTGCATGTGTGTGTTTAATCTGTGGCTTTGTGCTTGCTTGATACCCTTTTCAGGCTGTTTTAAAGGGAAACCAACAGGACAACCGAAGCCCCTTTTGGGGGGTCCACCCCCTCTTTCGACTCACGCCGTCGCAACAACAAATCAAACCCTGAAAGAATCGGATCCCCAGGTAAAGGACCTACGTCACCAAAACAAAAGCATCAACACTACATAAAAAGCATATGATACCACTGGCCGTATATTTTGGGATTAAAATCAAATCCTTATATACAGTGCGCGCGGAGTCTCCGTTCGTGGCTGGGAAGGTGTCGCATTTGGTTCAACCCGACAGCGCGATCTGGGAGGCAAAAGTATGTGTTTCGAAACTACGCTCTTTCCAATCATGGAGTGGACAGGGTTCTTCCCCAAAAGGAAAGAGGCTTCCAAAACCCTCCTGTCCGCTTTCATGATTGGAGGGAGGGTAAGTTTTCGCTTAATAATGATTTCACCTTGCCTACCCTTAGTCCACCCGAGGATGTCGCTTCCGTTTGGTTCAACGCTGCAGGATGCGAATGACCTCCGCAGCCCTCCAGTTGCCCAAGCCAGGAAAAGCGCACGTCGTCGTGCCGAGCCTGAGGTTGACGATCCTGCTCTGCGTGAAACTCGCGATGCCAACGCGAGATGGCCGCATTGCCCGTAGAATGAAACTTCATCATCTCACGCCGGACGTGGTCCCTGCTCCGCGATGACAGAGGTGTCATGTTGGAATGTTCCTCTCTTGCAACCAAGCGCCAAACCAAACAAACAAACAAAACGAACGTCTTTTTGAGGGTACCTGCTTGGTGTTTTACAAGAAATCAAAGAAACGAAGCCCATTTTGGGGGGTCGCCGATATTCTGAGACACACCAAACAGAATCCAACTGTCAACACCATGTGCCGCAGTCTGGTCCGACCGACCTGTTGAAACTGGAGTTGCCAACCCAACGTTCCACAATTGGAAATTCACGACCCAAAAGGATTTAAATGGGTGTCTCTCTTTAGGGGATCGAACAAACTGGTGGGTGTCCATTTGGTTTCCGTTCAAACCAACCCCCCCCCCCCAAAAAGGGTACCCAAAGAAAAACACACCCAAATCCTTTCAAGATTGCCCAGTGCATGAATCGATCTCCACGCAGAAAAAAGGGGCATTGGCACCTTCTGATCAAAAACAACTGGCTTGCAACCCGCTGGGAATCGGTGATCGGGACCCGCGCTCCGCTTGTCGTCCATGGCGGTCATCACTGCGAAGCGGCCGTGGGCTGGCAGGCGTGGCGCGGAAGGGCGAACCTATGTTAGAGTCTTCACCACTTTCTGTATTCTGTTTTAACATTTAAAGCTGCTTTCTTTTTACTTGGAGACCAAACACGGCCTATTGGCAGAGTTACGTCCTCCTCAATTTCCTCCACACATTCTTGCATCGGAATAGGTACTGGGGACATTTTCAGGCTCCTTGGTTTGGGTTCTACTGGGGCCCGCTGTTCTTAAAGGGAGCAGGTTTTCGAAGACGAGATGACGAGCGATGAGGAGCTTTCCATGGCAGATTTCGCCCATCAACTTCTCGATGAGCGCAAAATCGTATGACGGCCGTGTTAGTTGGCTCCGGCGTGCTTGTTTTGCTCCGTGTGAGCAGCGTACTTGTTTTTGGCGCAAATTTCTGTGAGCCGCCAGGAAGGGAGATATTATCTGTTGTTCGTGAGACAGCGAAGATTCGTCTCCGTAGCTCTCCAAGCTGCGCACCAGTCGCCATGCTCCCGCCACCACTGACGGCAGCTTGCGACTGACCGATCCTGGCGTGGCGCGATCACCCACGTAGAGTCTGCGTGCTGCAAAGAAGCATGCTTGGGCCCAAGTAGGTCCGACGCCGCCACTCAAAGCACCAGCGCAAGTCCGTGGTGTCGTGGGGGACAAGTCATTCGTGGAAGAAGACAATGACCGAAAGGTGAAACAAGCCAAGAACAAACAATTGCCTAGGGTTCTGGCTCGGCTCTCATTTTTTGTAGCGGTGCAGTTTTCTGTCACCCATCCAAGTCCGCTTGTCCAGCGAACGCGCCCCTTTGAACAGGATTGCCATGAATAACTAGCCCGCTCTCTTAGATGCCTTTGTTTGGATCAAACAGGTCGGGAGGAAGTCGGCTGGGCTGGCGACTCATTTTGCTGCGGATCATGGGCACTTCGTTGCACTGTAATTGGATACATAGACGAACAACATAGGGATTCCGGCCTCCATTGCGAGCTAGGCTGCCCCTTCCCAAGAGTCACCATGATGACCAGCAGATCCACCACCATGACCCGTAGACTCAAAGTCCGGCCCTGAGCAAGGCATCTAAGCTCGGATGAACGCACTGAACGTATAGCTCAGACAATGGCACGCCTTGCGGGACGAAGTTTTCGAAGTCCGCAGGTCTAGTGGATGCGCGCCTTCATGCCCTCTTGCCATTACCCAGAAGGGCCCAAGAAAGCAAGAGCCGAAAAGGCTCTCGTCGCAGTTATATATATATATATACATATGTTTATCTATACACATCATCACTTCAACGGGCTTTCCATTTCTGACGGCTTCCGCATTTCAACTCTGTGCAGCAGCTGTGCACCGACTTGTTCACAAAGCCGTGCACGATTTTTACAAAATAAGTGCGCAGCCACGTTTGCAACTCTAGGGGCAAAGTGGCATACCCCAAGTTTAGTTGGCTACGGGACTTACCCAACGTGCGCTGCGCTACTCCGCACTCAGGCTTTTTGAATGATTAGTCACTCCACTAACAATATCCCCCCGCAGGAATTATTATGCCATGACCTAGCTCACGCAGGGGAAAGAGTCTTCACTGCTTGTATTGTGGTATTGATTTTTTACAACTGATTTCCACTTCAAAAACCAATCTCTTCTTCCATCGGAATGGGTCGTGGGGACATCTTGAGGCTTATTGGATTGGGCCCTGTTGGGACCGCCTATTTCCAACCTCGGGGGGGGGGGGGGAATGGAGACGGCGGAGACGAAAAAGAACAATGCAAAAGAAACGTGAAACAGAACTGGCCCCCCCCTCCCCCACGTACCGCGCGGCGATTTGATGACATTCCACTAAACGTAGTCTTCGGGGAGCCGGTGTCGCAAAACAGGGGTCCCACGGCTTTTTGCTGGTTTGGGTTTCCTGCTTGCTTTTGCAGAAAATCTGGAAAAACTCTGTGTTTTTGGACGTCCTCTTTGCGAAAACGCTGGACAAAGCGTGTTTTTTGTGGAAAATACTGGGGAGCCAAGGGGAAATGCAAGGAAGTGCGAGGAAAAATCTGGAAAAACTCTGTGCTTTTGGACGTCCTCTTTGCGAAAACGCTGGAAAACCCGTGTTTTGTTTTGCGGGAAATACTGGGGAGCAAAGGGGAAATGCAAGGAAGTGCAAGGAAATGAGAGGAGGAAATAGGAAGTCAACATGTCAGGAAAGCAACTGGAAATGAAAGGGAGACAAAGGGGAACTGAAAGGGACATGACAGGGACAGAAATGAAAACGAGGGGAGTGCAGGGGGAATGACAGGGAAACAAAGCGAAATGAAACCAATCAGCACGACGGGAGATGTAGGGAAATTACTCGCAACGAAAGAACGGGACATACATGGAAAATGACACGGACATACCGAGAAAATGTCAGGGACATGAAGGGGGAGTTGAAAGGAATGGAAGGGACATGACCAGGACATCACGGGAAACGTGAAAAGGACATGAAGGGGAAATCAAGGGGAAAGCCAGTAGTGAGATGACAGTTCAGGGTCATGAAGGGGCAGTGCCGGGATATCGAGGCAACTCAGGGGGACGTGACGTTGCAATGCAGAGAGAGAGAGAGACAGGGAGAGAGCGGGAGAGAGAGAGAGAGAGAGAGAAAGAGAGAGACAGAGAAAGAGAGACACAGAAAGACAGAGAGAGAGAGAGAGAGACAGACTAGGTCCTCCAGTAGAGAGGGAAGAATTAGGGTACCCTTTTTCTGTAGAGGGGCGTGGACAGGAAGGAGACAGGCAGACAGAAAGAGACAGAGAAACAGAGAGAGAGAGAGAGAGAGAGAGAGAGACGGACAGAGAGAGAGAGAGAGAGAGAGAGAGAGAGAGAGAGAGAGAGAGAGAGAGAGAGAGAGAGAGAGAGAGAGAGAGACAGAGAGAGACAGAGAGAGACAGAGAGAACAGAGAGAGGGAGATTCAGGAGGGAGAGGCTTGGGGGGAATGGGGAGGATTGGGAGCAAAGGGAGGGACAAAGGACGACAGAACACACGAGGGAGACAAGGGAGAGAAGTAGCTTGGGTTTGGTAGGGTGGTTTCTGCTAAGAAACAAACCCATATGCTTGGGACCTTCCAGGCATTGATGACTACTTCAAAAAAACAACATCAGTAGGTTATAAGCAAGGGGGAAACCAATGGTGTAGCTGCGGTGCGCGCCCCCTTATAACCTACTACCTACCTACCTGTACGGGTGGGTTGGGGTTGGGTTGGGTTGTTTAACCAACTTCATAAGCAGGTTGCTTCACCGGTTGCAACCGGGGTCGTCCCCGTCTAGCCACGGTTATAACCTACATACCTGACGTTGGTTGAACATCCAAGTACTTCATCTTTGAACCTTTCAGTTCAAGCTCGCTTGCTTGTGGGTTCTGCCTAAAACAGTCTGCGCAACCCTTGGTATGGCCCCCTTCTAAAATTGAACAGTGCCAAAAAAGAAAAACGCTTGCAAGCACAGTGGAGAAATGCATCTAAAAGAAAAACAACTATTGATTAAGCTAACCTAAAACCTGAAACCATGATGGAGATCGATAAAAGAAACCATTGGTGAGCGAAAAGCCCTTCTTCGTCTAGCATCATTCTGGCATTGGAACCCAAGTTCATCTAATCTACAGATCCTGATGGAAGCAATCCAACAACATCGAAAGTAATGTATCTAGGGTGAGTCTCGTGTATGGCTAGGTCCTCCAGCAGAGAGGTTAGAATAAGGGTGCCCTTTTTTCCTGTAGTCTATGTTAGTAGGGGAACCCTCCCCTTTCCAAAAAAGGGGTGAGAGGTCGGGCACCAATCGCTAGGGGACCTAGACTTTGTGACAGGCAAGAAGGGGCCGTGCAGGTCTCCTCCGAAACGATTCTCGCTACAAAAATGGTCGATCCCCAGAACCATGCTTCAAGAATTAAGAAGGCGGAGATCCGAACCTCTTCATGGCAAGGGGATTGCCCTCTACTAAGCTTCATCAATCCCCGGGTTTTGAGCAAGTGGCTAAGACTTGCCCAGACCTGGAAATTATTATGGACTCGAGATTCATTTTCTTTTTTGGGGCCATGACTAAAAATGGGATCCCAAAACAGGCAAACCGAAAAATCAAAAGGTGGATTCGCTGTGGGCAACGGGCCGTCTGCGTTTCCTTGCAGAAAACCTGCTCCCCTGTTTCAAGACACGCCTAAACGTGTGTCAACCCAGCCCAAGAAGGGTGCCGAGCCTCAAACACACGTACCCAAGTGGCTCAAAGAACCGGTACCAAAATGGAACCTTGGTAAGTGTAAGCATGGACCAAAACCCGCGGTTTGCCCCTCCTGGTTAATTTTGAGCCACAGCCAAATGATTCCCGCCTCATTGCGCCACCTCCCTTTCAGTCTTATGGACCTCAAACTCTTCCACCTTCGCAGGTCCCGATCTGAACTTGTTATAGGAGAAGCAAAAGGTCAAAACTTGGTTGCTTTTTGGGGGTTGAATACGAAAAACCCCAAATGATTTCAACCAAACAGTTAAAGTCTAAAGATCCAAGCCAATAGCAGTCAAGCAAGGGGAATCAAACGAAGAACCTCCGTTTGTCATTTTAAGACACAGCCACAATTGCTACGGCACAGCTCAGTCAAGGTGACCTTGCCGCTACTTTTTACATTCACCGCGGCCTGGATCCTGGATCTCCCCCCTCCCGCCTGCAAGCGCCACCGCGGAGATCCCACGGAGTTGCGTCTGGGAAGCTTCGAGAAGTGTGCTACTCGTCTTTTTTGGTTGAACACGCGGAGAAACACAAAAAAAGCTGGGCCACCTGACCATCCAACCTGATCCCCTGCTAGAAGTTTAGCTTGTGGGTTAAAAGGAAAAACCACAGGAGGTACCTTTCTGAATTGTTTGGGGGTACCCTTTTCCGGTTTGGCTTGAAGGAAATTATGTTTGGGGTCCGATCCCTAAAAAGAAGAGACACCCAAAAGGGCATGAAACTCGCGGAACGGAACAACAACCAGAGGTACACAGTAAATAATGATGTGGTTCGGTATGGCTCCAAGATCTTTGCAAGGTCTGGCTCGTTTCTGACTCTCTCCCGGATTTAGATGAGCCCGCTGTTCAATTGGAGGATTGGCTAGTCCATAATCTGTGTAGGAAAATGAGTAGAAAGGGAGCCCCGTACGAAACCCAACACAAGGAGCTTAAGGATTGCCTTCGAACAACCCAGATTGATGAACAGAACAAATAGTCCAAAGGAATGCACATAAGGGAACAAGATGAATGAACAAAATGATAAGGAATGGACCACGTTGATCTTGCGTCAGATTTACGCCGTAACCTCACCTCCATTTGCGGAAGTCCCCTGGAAAAATTATAAAACACGTCCAGTAGTGACATTATTTCCCCTGTAAAGCCAACAGAAAATAACACATTTTCTTCAGCAAATGGATGGTCTCACCTTCAAAAGGATGGCTGCGACTCTGGACAGGCGGGCCAGGCATGGGCAACTCTCAAGGCTGCGTGGTCATGTGGATGGTGGCGAAATCCGTGACCGCACCACGAAATGAACCAGATCTAGGGAGTCCACCAGATTTGTCATAAACCCCCTCATAGTGTGGACGGGGACGCGACATCCAGAAATCACAGCACAACTTGTGAAACCATGCAAATGAGACCATAACGTTTGTTGGTATTTACAGGGGAATCATCATTCCAGACTTTCTTGGGTGGTGCAGGACTTTGTCATCCACAGTATGGACTCGTCTTTTTGACTTGGTACCAGCGAAACCAAAAGGAAGCCAAGCATTTGAAGGGATCCGATTCCGTTTCTTTGAGACGTCGATGCAGGTTACCAGGCCTGGTGATCGGGAAGAGAAGCCTTGAGGCATCCCAAAAACGAGGCTCTACTCCAAAGTCACATGCTCTGACCAGAGGTCCAGGACCCACCTTGGGCCATGACTACAATGGACCAAAATGGGAAGTCAAAAGGGTCGAGTGGCTTTGGGCAACTGAGTGTATATGTTCTTTTACCCTGGAATATAACTGACTTTTGCAGGAGACCCGGACAGGGTCAAAAGTTGCGAACCCCAGCAGATCGATTTGCGCGTCGCTGGGTTCGCTTTCCATCTGCAAAGAGTTCGTGGGGAAGCCGCTCATTTTACAAAAACTACCACAACTCTGACCCAACCACGAGTTGTATGTTGGTTCTTGTCCCCTTCAAACCGATTCTCCAAAATGTGAAAACCTTAAAAGTGAACCTGAAAACAAATCTTGGTTCTTGTCCAACCTTAAAATGAAAAACAAAAACAACTTGCCCAACAGGTCAAACATCCTTTCGAGCATCGCTCGGCGGGGCGTCAAAGACCTGCCTCGTCCATGGTAGTGGGGTCGAACCTGGGACAGTTCGAGCCAACTGCTCAGGGAGTTTTTTTGTTGCTTGGGGAGGGGGGGAAGGAATTTACGTATTTAGGCCCACGTAGAATTCTTTTGAAGCCCCTCTTCGCTGGCAGGGCTTGGGCAAGACCGACTCCTTTTTCGTTTGGTTAGGGTTGCTCCTCGCACTTCCTCAATGAAAACGCCCGACCGAAGAGGCACCAAGAAACTGTGTGCCCTACTCGACTTTCGTCATTGGGTCTAGCCATGAAAGTGACATTCTCAACATTGCCTTCTATAATATACTAGGTCCTTTAGTGGAGAGGTAGAATAAGAGTACCCTTTTTTTCTGTAGCCTATTTTGGGAATTGTGCCAACCAAAAAAGGGGTGAGAAAGGGCACTACAGGGGGACCTAGTATAGGCTCATGCAATGTTAGCCCGGAAACTCGTAAAGGGCCACGACCCCGGAAAACAACCATGGGCTTGTCTTATTCTGAGGGTATCCTTTTCGGAGTGGACTTTTTGCAGGTACTTCGAATAGTTCACATAGAACTCCTTCAGTTTGGCTCCCTCGAAGTAGAAAGACGCCCCCGGAAAAAAAAGAAAGGACTTCGGAACCCCCCATTTTCAACCCCCCTCCCCCCTTTGTCAATGCCCAATTTTAACCACCTCCCCCTCCCCATGTTCAGACCCCAATCCCACAGAGCGACCGCGACGCTTAAAATCGCTGGATTTGAGTCAGGAACCCTTGCGTGTGGAGCTGGTAACTTCTTTTATTGCTTGGGTGGTCCCTTGTGGTTTTCAAAAAAAAAACTAAACCTCAGATTGATGATAGAGGGGTGTCCGATTTTGAGTTTGGTGGGAATTGCTTGTAGACTTTTTGTTTGGGTGGTTCCTTGTGGTTCAAAACAAAAGTGAAATGTGGACCCCGCACTAATAAACCTCAGATTACTGATGGAGGGGTGTCCATTTCTGGGTAAAATGTGGGGATTCATCACTTGAGGGGAACAACCCCATGTTAATAAACAGGGGGTTCTTAATCCAGGGTGAACATTGGTAGCCCCTTTGTGTTCGGGTGGTTCCTTGTGGGTTTCCTTCCAAAACTAGCCAAAACAGGGGAGCGAGACGGACCGAGCCTCCTGGCTGGTGCGATAGGCCGTCAATGAGAATCGCAATGACCCCAAGATACACCATCATCCAACTGGTGCTTTCCCTTTATTTCAGAAAACCAAAGCCTGGGTCCATTCCAAGTCTCATTCCCTATCTTACCAGCAAGTAGAACTCACCTCCTGGGCTCAAGGACGTTTTGTCACTTTTTGGGCTTAAGGACGAGAGATCTCCAGATTTGGCGCCGTTTTTGCAATATCCCATATAAAGAATTGATCAGCGGCCGGGCCAAGCCCAAATCCCGGATTCGGAAGAAGAGAAGCAACTACAGGCACCATCTGAGCAACACATCGAAAGTTTGTACCTTCCCCATCGCACCCGGATTTTGTAAAAAAAAAAAAACGGGCCGATGTCCCCAGAAACCAAATGCCAGCCTTCCGGCGCCGACTGGCGAGAGGGGATCGTCCCGGAAGGTTGACCAGGTCCTCCAAATTTGAGAGGTTAGAATAAGTTGGTACCAACTTTTTTCTGACCGAACAAGTGTAACAGGGCACTACTAGAGGACCTATTCTGTCAAATTGTGAAATTCAGGGGGGGGTGCTTCTCCCTGGGTGAAATGTGAGTTTGGAATCAGACCACTGGAGGGGAAATTCCCCCCACCTCCCTGAATTGAACAAAGAGGTTGATGAAGATCTGAGGTCAAGAAATTCACCTTCCCCCCACCCCACCCCCCCACCGATTTTTTCGTAACAGGTTGGTGGATGAACATCTGGGGATCGTCCCAAAAAAAAAAACTTCATCCACCCGGGCCCTGAATCCTTTTGAGGCGCTTCCATTTGGTTAAGACCCCTGGAAAAAGATATAAAAATAAAAATAAAAATGTCCAGTAGTAAAATCGAATCCCTTTTAAACCAACAGGGGAAAATAATTATCATTCAACAACAACAAGGCAAAAAGCAAATTTGCAAGGGTCGTAGTCGTGGCACGCTCGATTCAACATCGATTCAGAGGTCCCCCGGCCAGCCAGGGTAGTCCACCTTCCCCTCGGTGCGCACCCGGCTCCGCGGGATCTCCGGGCCTGAGGCCCAGGGCAGTCGCGTCGAGTCTCACGAAGCAATTTCTTGGGGCGGCGCATTTTAAAGCAACCAACGTGGGGTGGGTGAAACAGAAGAAAAACAAGGTGTGCAAAAACTGGTGGCTGGTGTTGTTCTTTTTCTTCTGGAAAAGACAAAACCAAATTTGCACGGGTCCGTTTCAAGGGAAACCAAAAGGAGACCAAGCCAACATGGCAGGTGTTCCTTATTTTAGCTTAAAGAAGGTGGTTTCCCTCAGGAAGTTATCACATGCCCAGCCCTGCCCCCTTGAATGGTGTCCGGGAAGCCATGGAAATCGACCCAGGTTTGGGGGAATTCCCCATAGAACAAATGTGCGCTGAATTCCCTTGGGGTGCCAGATTCTGGGCAACCAAACCATTCGCGGGTTTTGCTCCCGGAGCTCGTTCTGTGCAGATTCCTAAGAGTGCGGATGTCTTTGGGTGTCTCCAGCCATTTCCGGAATGAAAAGGAGTCCTGAGATCCTTTCGCCAACACAACAATAGGTCCCAGAAGTGCTCCAAACAGACCACTTTTTGGATGGTAAAGCCGGACCAACCCACCTGAGACAAACACTCAAGGGAGGAACCCCCCGACCGGTTCGAGGTCCTGGGCCGCTCTGGCGGCTTTCCGCGCTCATGTGATGGGTGTAGATGTACGGAACACGGGCTGGGCTGCAGCTGAAAGTTGCGGGGCAGACAGGGATCCTTACATGAAAAACACCTGAGCATTGCAACTTGTAAATGGTTGTTTCCCTTTATTTGGGTGGAAAAAGCCATGTTTCAAACGGGCAAAATGTATCCTTTAAGGAGCCCTGGAAAAGTTGCAGGGCAGCTGGGTTGCTGTTTCGCTTCCGCTTCTTAAAGCGGTCCTGGAAGGCATCAACGGGAAGCCACCGAAAAGCAACACCTCCAAACTAGAGGAACCCCAAATCTCCCAAATGATTTCCCAAAGCAACCCCTGGCAAGAGACACTTGAAATCAAAACAAAGCTGCACGTCTCCAAACGGTGGCACCTCCCAAAAGGGTGTGCTTCCCCCTACAAGTTTCCTCTGAAAACAGCCCAGGAAACGAGAACCATCAAAACCGGCCATGTGCGGCTGCTCTTTGCTTCCGTTCATCAGCTGAGCCTTCTTAGAGGAAAAACCAAGGAGCAACAAGAAAAAATAGGGCATATTTGGGGGTGATCAATATCCGTTTAGGGTGCCCGAATGACCATGGGTAACTTTTCCCATGTGGTAAATATCATCTTTTTAGTGGTTTGCCCCAATGGTCATCCCATGCTCATCGGACCTTTTGATCAACCCCAATTCTCAAACTCAGCGTCCCTCGAATTTGGACGTGTTCCGGGGACGGCGTCCCATTCCTCCTCTGCAAGGGGTGCCAATCCCACCAACCCAAGGGCTATCCTCCTGTCCACATTCAACCCACCAGAAGGTCCCTTTTAGATGAAAACAGTCTTCAGGCGCTTCCTCCTCTGCAAGCAGGGCTCAAATTCGCAAACCACAACCTAAGGCCGACCCTCCTGGCCACTAACATGGAACCCACCCGGAAGGTCCCTTATAGATGAAAACCGTCCTCCAGGACGCTTCAACCGGGCTCGAGGGAGGGTACCTCAGAAACCACGGCGCGACTCAAAAACACAAAACCGAAGCCAGAAGGGTGTGTCCTTTTTTGAGGGCACCCTTGTTGGGTCGGTTTAGGCAAACCTTTAGAGAAGCCAACCATTTTGGGGGTCCCCGATTTTGAGACAAATTCATAATTCTTCGTGACTCCCCCCCTTGGATGTTCAACCAACGTCAGGAAGTAAGTTACAACTGCTGTAACTGCGGCGATCGGGCCCTTACAACCATGGTGATACCCGACTTGGGCTTCTCGTTCTTTGTTTGGGGACTACAAATTCTGCTGTGTTCTCCTTTTGGTGTCCCTTTAAAACCCACCCGAAACGCTAAAGGCACCACCATCCCAAAAAATCAAAACGTCGGTTTCAGCCCCCACGCGCCCACAAATCCACGGACCCTCGTTGAAGGTCCCCGGCCTTTCAGCTGGCCCGCCGCCTTCCGGTCCTCGAAGCAGCGCAGCCTCGGGGGACAGGGGCCCACGAGAGCCTCGCGGCGACTTACACAGAAGCTAGGTCCTCCAGTAGAGAGGTTCTGTAGTCTATTTTAGTAGGGCAGAAGCCACAAAGGGCAAACTAGGCTAGGTAGCAGAGGTTGGAATAAGTTGGCACCAACTTGTTGTCTTTTTCTGTAGTCTATTTTATACGCGGGGCTTGCCCTCCCCTTTCCAAGAAAGCTGAGAGGTCGAAACGGCACCAAGTGCTGGCCCTAAGGGTTCTGATGGGAGCTGAAGGGCCTCAAGGACTTGAAGTCGGACGGACTGGGGGGTGGGGGTGGGGGGGGGTGGGGGGGGTGGGGGGTGGGGGGTGGGGGGGTGGGGGGGTGGGGGGTGGGGGGGTGGGGGGTGGGGGGTGGGGGGGGGGGGGTGGGGGGGGGTGGGGGGGTGGGGGTGGCGAGTTGGGTGCGCGGTTTTGGGCCGGGGGGTTTGGGGGGGGGCAGCCGGGTGTGATGTTCACTTCGTTAGGGGGCGGGGTTGAGGTGGGGTGATTGGAGAGGCCTAGGAGCTTTTGCTTCTAGGGGGGGATTCCAACATTTTTATTTTTCAAGCATTGTTCTTTCCAACCGACCGACGTCTTCCCGGAAGGTTTGCGGAACGAAGGATCCCTGAAAAGAATGGGGGGCGGCACTTGTAGAGATCTGCCCCTTTTTTAGGGGAGCCCTTTTTTGGGACATGTTTTCAAAGGTACCCTTTGTTGAGACAATCTGGGTACACACAAAATAATAGTGACGCGTTTCTGGCCGTTTCTCGCCGGGTCCGGTCCTTCAAAACCCTGGAAAGCCAAGGCAAGCGCCTGATTTCAGGGATATGTGCGAGGTGGCAAACCCTGTACCCTCCCTCCAACAAACTGTTGGCACCTGCTTTGCGGGTACCCGGAAGATGACTTTCCTCCGGGTACCCTGTGTCAGCCCTCCCTCCAACAAACAGTTGGCACCTGCTTTGCTGGTGGGGTACCCGGAAGGTCAGTTGCCATGTTAGTGGGAGGGAGGGCAAGTCGCCGGAGTTTGCAACCAGATCTACGGACGAAAAAAATATTCGCAAGATTCCGGGCCACCAAATGTGGGGGGGACAAGAGGGGGCGACCATCCAAAGGATGGTGGCTTCCCTGTTGGTTTCCCCTCGAACCGACTCTGAACAAAAAGCACCCACCTGTTTGCACCAAGGTGGCTCAGTGTCAGTGCCCTTTGCCGTCGTTTGGGATGGCGTCGTGCGGGTGAATGGCACGGGCGTTTCGTGTTTCGGGCACCGATTTCCGGCAAGGCAACCCGCAAAGGACAGGTTTTAGGGGACTGACCCTCAGTCGCAATGGAGCGCAGACAACTGGAAATTTCTGACCCAACCTCACATGGATAGACAGATCATTCCTTATCGTGAGCGCGCCATTGAACACACTATCAAATACACCCTACCTCTTGGGGAATTTGGTGAATGTGCAACTCGGGACTCCCTTGTTGAGTTTTTGAAAGGAAGACCAACAGGGAACCACACAAAGACGTTTCGACAGCAATTTGGGTGTGTCTCAGAGCGAAACCTCCCCAAGATGGGTGGTATCCCTTTGGCATTCAAGGCCAAAAAGACATTCCCCGTATGTGTCAGTTAGGTTTCCATTTAAACAATCGCCAAAAGGCGCACCCCCCTGAAAAAAGGCACATGCTCATATTGCACGTCGCGCCACCTAAAGTAAAGGATCTCAATTGATATTGTCCTGAAAGGTGTCGTCCAGCAGTGCTCCCAGTTTTCAGGGGGAACAGGGGTCACTGGATTACCCCGAATCTCAAGCTGATCAATATCAATTTACTGGTGGTGTCCCTTGAAACAAGAAGACCACTTTTCACTTTTTGGAGGTTCCAAAAAAAATCCAGGTCCTCCAGTATAGAGGTTAGAATAAGGCTACCCATTCTTTTTCTGTAGCCTATGTTAGGCACGGGGAACCCTCCCCTTTCCAAAAAAGGCGACCAAAAGGGCACCTAGCTGATAAAACCTCGCCTTGGGTTCCTTCGGTTGCCCCTCGATGTTTGCTGCTCCGGATCCGCTAGAAACTAAGATGGATCCCTCAGGAAGCCGTTTCTTGGCTGGAAAAAAGGGACCCCGGCAAAAAAATGAGACCTTTTTTGCATGGTTGGTGGAAAACAAAGGGGACCAACCAAAAAAGCAAAAAAGATATGAAAAAGGGGAACAAATTCTGGGAAAGTGGGGAACTCGAACTGAGCTTGGAAATCCTCGCGGACAACCCGAGCTTCGGCGCGTTCGGCGCGGTGCGCCGTTTGCGCGCTGGGCGAAGGGCTCGCAGAGCGCGCGCGAGGGATGGCTAGGACACCACACCTGGGACGTCGCAAGGCGGTTGGCATGCGACACCTGCAGTCATAGGTGGCCCTTAGGAAAAATAGATGACCCTAGTAAATGGGGGCACAACCCCCATCTAAACCCGGAATCGCCCTCTATTTGTTCAAGCAAACCAACCAAAAAGGACGATTTCTATGCCTCCAGTTCTTCAGTCTCAGCTCGAACTGGGTCTTGTCGTCTTTTTAGGTTGGCCCCTCCCCCCAAAACAAAATGGTACCCCCCCCCCCGGCCCAAAAAAGAACAGACAGACTCAATTGGGGACTTCCCCAAAAGTTGATCAATTTACTGGCGGCTGCCAGTGACAGAAGAAGGCCACTTTAGGAAGTGCCCTCTGGGAAATGGCTTGGAAACCCTGGCGTTGGTGGGTGGCTTGGAGCTTCTTAGCGTCGCAGTGCCCCACAAGAACCGGGTCAAATCAAAATCCAAACCATCCAAACCACTCAGAGGGAATCTGATTTACGCACGTCTTGAATTACTCCCCTACAGAATTTCACGAGCCATTTGTAGGAACAGAAACCTCTTTTTGGACAATGGACACATCTTTTGGGTCCCATGCTAACTTGGGAAATTTCCACCAGAACAAACTTTTGCGAAAACGAGTGCCTTTCGGCCTGGAGGTTTTTTGGGCGGTTTCACGCCGGCTGAACTGCATCTAAGAACTCAGAGAGTTGGCCTATTGGAATTCCGTATGGCCATATCTACCAGCTCCAAAAGTGAGTCACAATCAGAACCCGGTATCAACATGGTCTACCCAGAACCATGCCAAGAGGAAACAAGGCAACGCGGGCACCCCTTTATGGTTGGGATTACCCCCTTGCTAACCTCCATCTGCCCGGGTTTTCATTGTGGCTCAAGTGTCCATCTACAGATACCGGGATTCATCTGAGTAATGGGGGCACGGACTGTTTCTCCCTTCAATCAGGCCACCCAGGTTCGGATCGAAAACAAGCTCCACCTGACGAGTGTCGGAGGCGTGTCTTGCGATTGCCCAGCCACGACCCGTGGCCATTGGACAAGAATGGGTTGGCACCCAATTATTGGCCTCCATGTGCTTAAGTCCCCTGCCAAAAAAAAAGGCAACATCCGGTCGCGCTAGATTCCCTTCGAATCCCACCAGTGGAAAATCAAGCATATGCGTTTCAGCAAAAGGAAGTTGACATCGGAAAGCACCTCGAAAATCACAAGAAGATTAAGGGGGGGGGGGGGGAAAAACAACGGAGAAAACAAAAAAGAAAAAAGGGGGGAAAAAAGGAGAAAAAGGGGGGGGGGGGGAGGAAAAACGGAAAGGCAGCATCTCACAGGGACTCCGCGCGCAGGCGTAGCTGCTGCCAATCCCCGGAGGCTCCTGATGGGCGACGGATGGATGAGCCCTGCGAAAATAGGACTCCGAAGATGGTGGTCCTTTCGTGTTCCTTTTGAAGCAACCTTAAACAACAAGGTCCTCCAGTAGAGAGGTTAGACTAAGGGTACCCAATTTTTTTTTATGTGGTCTATTTTAGTAGGGGAACCCTCCCAACCAAAAAAGGTGGTAAAAGCTTGCACGACTCAGGGACCTAGTAAGCTATGTTTGGGCATGTTCCAATAGAACAGTCCGGGTTTTCCTTCTGTGGCACTTCGTCCGTAGCATACGGGAGAATTGGGACACGGGGGGGGGGGGTTTTAGAGCTCCAGGCTGCAAAATAACCTCGAAGTGTCCATAACATGGGGGCGGGGGGGGGAGGGGATTCTGTGTTGGTTCGTTTCTTAGTAACAAAAAAGCGATTTACAAATCCGGACTCAAAAAAAAGGGCGACAGCTGCTGGCTTTTTTGTCCGTCCTGCTCTGCTTCTTCGCGCGGTTTTTAGCTGCGACGCCGTGTTTCCATGCGCCAAGACGCGGCCGAGGACCCGCGGAGCTGGACGGAATCAAGGAACCAACACAAGCCTAAAACTGGGCTGGCTGTAGTCAGACCCCCGACGCAGTGAGGGTAAGTACCCTCTGTGTTGTGGTAGAAGGAAACCTCAAGGAACTGGTTCCTGTCCGTTTTCAGACCCCCCGCGAAAAGTGAAGAACTTTTGGTGGGTAAAATTCGGAGATCCAACCAGTAGACACTTTTCAAGTCTAAACAGCTAAGGAACCGGATTGCTGGGAACCAGCAAGAAAACAGGAGGCTCTCCTTTTGGTTTGCTTGACCAAGATGAAAAGGCTACCCTCACACTTGCTTTGAGGTTCCCGTTTGCCAAACCTGGCATGTCAAAACAAAAGATCCTTTCAAGTGGTTGGTTTCGTGCTCAAGCCCCTTTGGTGTCACTTCCCGACATCAAAGGGTTCCTTTCGGAACTGGAACAGCTCTGATAGTTACGTGGGCAAAGCAAGGGACTGAATAATTACTGTGGTCATGACTAAATTAGCTTGGTTGCTTTCTGCTCCCCTGCCAAAAGTTTGTGTTTTAGTGGTTTAATGGAAAACCCATTCGTTGGCGAAAAGCTAAAGTCCTAACATCCAAGCAAAATGCACCAATGTTAGTGTTGCCTATCAATTAATTGGGATTCTTGGAAAACGTCTCCAAGGCTCCAACGATACTTCCCCATCACCCAAGAAGGAAACTCACTTGCAATCAACCGGGCACTGCGCAAAAACTAGCAAGGGGGTGGTTTCGGGGGAGGTTTCTCGGCGACGCCCCGGTCTGGGTGTCTTTTTTGGATGGTGCGTGGCTTTGTTTTCTGTCTTCAAGTGAGACCAAGCAAGCCAACACCTGAGTCAGAATCGAAACCCGGCATTAAAATGGTCGATCCCCAGAACCATGCTTCAAGAATTAAGGCTGAGATCCGCAGCTACTTATGGCAAGGGCATTGTCCCTGACAAACCTTCACTTACCCGGGTTTTGAGCAAGTGGCTCAAGTGAAACCAACCAAGCCAACACCTGACATTGCGATGTTTACGCCGGCTTCAAGGCTCCATTGGCAAACCGGCAAAAGGGGGAAAAGGCCTTGGAACCCGCGTCAAAATATGGAACCCCGAAAACGTGGGTTGTCCCAGTTGTTTTTTCTTTGCCAGCCCCAAAATCTAAGCATCACCACCGAAGTAAAGGAATCGAACCCTTTCCCATGACTGCAGTGAAGGGAATGCAAGCCAAGACAAAAACAAAAAAGGGTGTGCCCTTTTTTCTCGGTAGTGTTCCAGGCAGAGCAAAAGGGAAACCCACCGTTTTGGGAGGGAGACCAACCTTAAAATAAGCCCAGCGGGCTCCTCTGGAACCCTTACCTGATTTCGCTCCGAACCACCCCAGAGAATATTCTCAGATGCCGGCGGATTTCCATTGGACGAAAAAGAATCGGCCTCCTTTTTTGGGGTTGCCTGACTAAATTGGGAACCCTTCTCAGAAAAAATGGCCGACTCCTCTGGTTGCAAGTGGGTATTTGGGCAGAGACCCCAAAGCTTCCAGCTGTTGGGGGCAAAAACGCTAATTACTTCGCTTCGAGCAATCCCCACCCTCCACACTCACGAGCTTACGACCGTTACACAAATTCCTCCACATCCTAGAGACTTCGGCTCCAAATTCGCGCATCGGCCCTTCTGGACATTAAGCACAACCAGACTGGCGAGCTACTGGCGGGATCCCCTGGCGAATGCTGGCGAGCCGCTCTGGCCGGATCTCGGCAGGATCCCACCGGCAAGGGATACTCAGCGGGAATTGGCGGGATCCACTGGCGAGCTACTCTGCGATACTCAGCGGGATACTCGGCGAGATCCCCTGGCGAGCTACTCTGGCGGGATACTCGGGCGGGATCCACCGGCTCGCCCACTGGCGAGCCGCTCTGGCGGGATGCTCGGCGGGATCCACTGGCGAACTGCTCTGGCGGGATGCTGGACGGGATCCACTGGCGAGCAGCTCTGGCGGGATACTGGGTGGGGGCGTGGTGTAGAAGCATCGCAAACGCGGATTCCAACCCTTCCTGTCGGGTGGGGAAAAACCTAGGAGTCCAAGCCCCGGCCCATGGCCCCCATGGGCTGGTCCTGCTGGCCGCTGATCGCAAGGTCCAGCTGGGAGTTGTAGGAGAGGCACAGCAGCTCGGCGTTGTGGCCCTGCAGTCAGTGGTAATTAACCTTTGTACCACCCCAAAAGGGTACCGTTCAGAACGACGCACCCGGAGACCCAAGAAGTATGGGGTTGTTGACAGTTGTGGCAAAATTGCAGTAGACTGTGGGGGTGTCCCTTTCTCCCTTTGCAACATTTGGCTGCGGTTGTCATAATTGGGGTAACCTCAAGATCCACCCTGGCAAATGGAAACATGGACGAATACCTGAGTTGTTGTTTCTTACCTTGTGGTTTAAGTTTGGCCCATAACCCGTTCGAGCGTGCATCAAACTAGCGGACTTGTGCTTTTGGCGTCCCTTGCAAAGCTGGAAAAAGCGGGCAGCCTCGCAAAACACACACACACACCGAAGCATTCGTGCAAACCCCTTAAGCGCAGCCTGATAAACAAATTCTGCCCATGTTGAAAACCGCGCGACATGCGGTAGCTTTCGTGGGCTTCGGAAACCAAAGGTTTCATCAAACAAACGAATGGGAGGTAAGCCCCAGAACCAGTCGAATTGGGCTACGAATCTGGCACGCCCCATGTAAATGTGCGTGTCTCTTTCTAGGGGACCCCCATCTTTGCTAAAAGGAAGGCCACAAGGAAAACCACCCCCTTAAAAAGGACACCCCCTTTCTGACGTCCACCATTTCGGATCCCCCCAAAAGTCAGTGTCACCATTTGGCATTTGTCTGCCACATCCCGAGGCATAGAGTTCAGCTGACATGAGGAATGGGCTGTCGAAACTGACGCCCTGCAAGCTGAACTTGTCGGTTACTCTAAGGGTACTTTCCCCATTCTTTCCAGGGATCCTTCTTTCTGGAAAACCTCCAGAAACCCAGGGAAAACGACTGGTTATTGGAAAGAACGATGGTGAAAAAGAAAAATATCGGAATCAGCCTATAGAGATACCGTGGAAGCCCACCCACGAAATTCACCAAAAAACGCAACCAGCGACTTAAGCGTTGCCCTGCCCACAAATGCCCTGGGGCACCTGTGGGAGGGTGCCATGGTGCCACGGCAACGCCACGTGAGGCTAGCCTGTTAAAGAGGAGTCCAGAGTTGCGACCCATTTGGCTGTGGCTCAAAAAAAGGGACCCAAAATGGCACCTTGGTAAATGGAACCAAAGACTAAAACCTGCGTAACCCTGGCTCTTAAATTTTGAGCCACACCAATTTGAGCGATCTGTGGTCAAAACTGGACTACAAGGATCCAATGGCCACGTAAAGGGCAGCTGAGCCAAAGCTTGTGAATTGGAAACCTCCCCTCCACTCGCTCCAAAGGTAGGTTGTCTGGCGCAAACAGATTTCGTGAACAGTATGACTAAATCGGTTGACCCAGACTGGGCTCTAAGACCTCCATCTGCTTCTTCGTCCCCAGGAACAAGTGGGAAAATGCTTCCAGTCGTGAATTCAACCCCCAAAACCCTCGCCTCAAAGTAGGTCTGGCTCGGCCGGAGTAAATCCTGGCGGCTCGCAGAAAAGACAATCCGGTGATCTCCCTTTGCGATGCTTTGTGTGGGCTTGCAAAACACTGACCGTGTTTTGCAGCCTACTAAAAATGAACAGAACCAAAAAGAACATGCCAAGAGTGAAGTTCTTGTCAGGTAGCCTCTAGTTGATTTGGATCGTGGCTTGGATTTGGATTTACCCCGTAACCACACCTAATCCAGACCTCCAGTTAGTGGCACAGGCAAACAAACTTCGCAGATTCAGAACTCCACGTTTGTGCCCTCACTCCACTTTTGTGCCCTCACGGCCTTTTGTGACCTCAGTGCTGGCAAAGTCCAACGAGTTTTTTGGGTTGGTGAAATGCATTTCTTGGACAAAAGCAGAGTCGGTTGGACTTGCCCCTGTGAAGGGACACCAACCGGTCGTTTGAACAATAGTTGCTCAAACATGGCCAGCTTCGCTCTGTAGATTGTGGTTGCATACCCAGCCAAGTTTCCTCTCTACGAATGTGTTGTCTTGCATTTGGCACCAAGACAGTTCTGACTCCGGCCGCAGCCATCTGCAGGCCTAAACGGGAAGGAGTTCCCTTATGAGAAGGGCATTTGAAGGGATTCTGTTTTACAAGAGTTGAACAACCGAGGGGCATGCTCATGCAGCGACAAAGCTGTCCATCTTGGAGAACCGTATGGATGTGGTTCAGCAGACGGGCAGCTGTATCCAAAGACGAGCTGCCTTTCTATGAATGGGAACTGGCCCCATTGACTCATGGAGAACATGAGGTTTGCTTGCAGCTGCGCATCTTTGAAAGCGAGGTCGGCGACAAAGGCCTTGCTGCCGATCTGGTTTTGAAAGATGTGATGGCCAAGACCTCTAGCGCCAGGTGCAAGTTGATGGCTTGACAGGAGTCTGTGTTTGGATCGCCTGTTACAGCACTCATTCATGTTTGGAATATCATCCCGCACATCAAGGGAGAGCTCATCAGAATACCAACGGAAGCATTCATTCACAAGCGCCTCCTTTGGGCATATCGCTCCCGCGTTTTGCAGTTGCAGTGATTTCAGTCCCCTTCGTCCAATGCCAAAGTTCAATCCGAGCCCCGAGCCACTGTCACAGGGTTTCTTTGCGCTTTTGAGTTCCCTTTAAATCCAGCCAAAGAGGGATTCTCCCCCCCCCCAAAGAAAAAAGAGGTACCGGGCCTTTGTTCAGATCAACTGTCCTCCTCTAGAGCCTATGTTGTCAAGGGAGAATCATGTAACGATGTTTGCAGCAAAGCTGTTGTTGCTTGTAGCCCACGTGGTACATGACTAGACGGAGTTCGGAGACAATAATTCGCTGCGCAGTTGGTGTGCTTTCCACTCTCTTCTGCCGGCGTTGGGCACTTTGACTGTCGGGGTAAGTTTCCGCCACAAATGACCGCTGGAGACTGACCTTGCCCAGTTATTTTGTCCATGTTGGAGAACCGCATCGATGTTGTTCTGCAGACGGGCAGCGGTATCCAAAGACTGTTGCCTTTCTGTGAATGGGAGCTGGCCCCAATGACTCATGGAGATCAGGAGGTTTGGCCTTGCTGCCAATCCTTTTGAAAGATGCGATGGCCAAGACCACTCAGGCCCTTGACAACAACACGGGCGACCATTGTCTTTCTCCAGTTTATGCGGCGTTGAGCGTAACCTGACTGTACCAGTAGCACAATATCCTGAAATTGGGGGGCCCTTTTGGATGGTCCAGGGGCAACGCAAAGGGTCGCCAGGCATTTTGAGATGTTTAAGAGACATTCAGACGACTTGTTGGGCCCAAACTGGATGGAACTGAAAATTGGTCACATCCTGAGCCGGTTCGGAAATGACCCGAGCGCCTGTTCGGGCGCAACTGCTCATTTTTAATTTGGGCGTCCACCGTTTTGGGGGGGTACACCGCGCACAAGCAAACCACCTGCAGCGGACGACCTGGGAGAGGTTTCGGGCAAAGAGTCTGTGCCAATTCAAGCCCTCTACTGCAGAAGTCCCCTGGAACAAATGATATATCCAGTAGTCATAGATCCCCTTTACAACCAAAAAGGGGAAAATGAGGAAAGACTTTTGCGCAATGGAAGGTACTGTGTCTCACAAGAAGCCGAGCTCTTTCTTACAGCCAGTCCAGCTCAGATTGAATGCTGCTGCTGTCACCGCCAAAGGCTGAGTCGCCCCACGTCACCACAGAACCGTCGTCCAGGATTGCAGCGAAGGCATGCCTAGTTGATTGGATCTGCTGGACCCCAATCAGCCGCTCTCGCACATGGTTGCTGTCACCGCCCCAGTCAGGAAGACCCCAAGTCACCACAGAGCCGTCGTCGAGAACGGCAGCGAAAGCACGCTCAGTTGATTGGATCTGCTGGACGCGCACCAGCTGCTCTTGCACCTCACTACTGTCACCGCCATATTCGGGATGGCCCCACGTCACTACAGAGCCATAGTCTCGGATGGCAGCAAACGCAAAGCAACTTGCTTGGATGTGCCGAACCCCCACCAACTGGTCTCGCACCTCACTGCCGTCAATATCACAGCCTAGATCGCCCCAAGTCACCACGGAGCCCTCGTCCAGGATAGCGGCAAAAGCATGCTGAGATGCTTCAATCTGCTGAACTCGCACCAACTGGCCTTGCACGTGACAGCTGTCACCACCAAAACCGGGATCGCCCCAAGTCACCACAGAACCGTCGTCGAGAACGGCAGCAAAAGCACGCTCAGTTGATTGAATCTGCTGGACCCCCACCAACTGCTTTTGCACCTGGCTGCTGTCCCCACCAAAACCGGGATCGCCCCAAGTCACAACAGAGCCATCTTCCGAGATGGCAGCGAAAGCATAACCAGTTGATTGGATCTGCTGGACGTGCACCAGCTGCTGTTGCACCTCACTACTGTCACCGCCATATTCGGGATGGCCCCACGTCACTACAGAGCCATAGTCTCGGATGGCAGCAAACGCAAAGCAACTTGCTTGGATGTGCCGAACCCCCACCAACTGGTCTCGCACCTCACTGCCGTCAATACCACAGCCTAGATCGCCCCAAGTCACCACGGAGCCCTCGTCCAGGATAGCGGCAAAAGCACGCTGAGATGCTTGAATCTGCTGCACACGCACCAACTTCCGCACCTGGCTGCTGTCGCCGCCTTCGTTTGGAGCGCCCCAAGTAAGCGCAGCACCTCCTGTGACATACCTTGGCTGGAGTTAGGACCCCAGCAAAAAAATATCATTTTTGCCTGGTTAGTGGAAAACAGAGGGGACCCAAAAAAAGCAAAAAAGGAAAAAGGGGAACTAAGTCTGGGGAAGATACAGGGCAAAAGCTGTCTTTGTGGAAGCCAGCTCGACAGGCTGCGCGATTGCACAAATCGAATCCCCGTCTCCCACGCCCGCCGCGCTTAACGAAGACCGCTGATCAAGTGGCTTGCCTCCCACAGAGAACCTCAAAAAGCGGCGCTGGAGCTGCCGTTGTGCCTCAGCCTTCAGTTCGAAGACTCTCGACTCCGGACTCAATGCGACGGAGCAGCTCCTGCCACTCGCCAAGCACACCTCCACTTTCATGACATGGCGGCTTGCGCAGTCAGCGGGGGTAAGTGAGGGGGGTGGAGGGGGAGCCAGGGGAAGTGATGCTTTCAAACCCCTGCAAAGGGGGGGGGGGCAGACAAAGCAAACTCGCGCACTCAGTTGGGCATAGGTGTTGCCGCCTTCCAAGCGGGGGAAGAATTGCCTGGCCCTTGTTTTGGACCCCGGCTCTGCCTTTTCAAGGTACCGAAAAAGGACCAAAGGCCGAGGCTCGAGCCCGTGCTTCGGGCTCCATCGTGCCCGACCTCTCCTCCCCCTCCCCCCGAGTGATTTGGACCCATATCCCCAGACAAGTTCTCAAGCCAAGCCTATGAACGGACGGCGCTCCCTACTTTCTCCCGCTTGCTTGTTTTTCAACAACACCTTCTGGCATTTGGAGGACAGAGGGGGGAGAGGACAAATGGCATTTGGAGGACAAATGGGGAGAGGGCAAATGGGTTTCTTCATGGCGAACAGCCTGAAGGGGATCTCGTTTGGAAACTTCTCAAAACTCAGACGGACCTTTGCCTGTGGTTCGGTTCCTTTGGATGTACGACCCCCCGGAGATCGATCGGCGCAAAGCACGAGCCGGGTTCATGGGATGCAAATGGGCCCCGCGCGGATCCATCGGAGTCCAAAAGAAAAGCGATGCGAAGAAACCCCGACCCAAGTCACACCTTTGGGCTACTAGGCGACTGACGCCGGAGCGAGCGAGAGAACTGAAAAATCCCACTGGCCTCCACCACACCGAGGCGAGCAGCGATGTAGACCTGGGCAAGCGGGGCGGAAGGTGTCCGAAAGCGCCGAAGTGACACTCCAGACTTAGATGACAATTGAGTTTGCAAAGGAAACCCCCAAAGGCAAAAACATAAAAAGATAAGCTATGTCCAAGG